GAGGTGCCAAGCCAACAGACAGTATAACTATCTAAGCTTACATGTGCTTTCTTTACGCCAGTTAGAAAATGTGCATCTCCTTTAGGTTGGACTTTGTGTAAACATGTCAAGACTTTACCAACATCTGTTGTTAGAGTCACCAATACCTCCAGGCTAAAAAATATATACATAAAAACAATACAAATAAAATTAAAATACGTTTTCAAATCAATTCTCTCGGAAGCCTTAGTAAAAGCTATGAAAATATGAATTTCATATTTTTCTTCTGAATTTTATAATAATCTAATATTATTACCTGGCAAGGGTCATAAGTCCTACATTATTCTCAGGATTTTGTCGTGTTTTAGAATGACAGATTAAACTAACGGCATCTTGTTGTGCTTGCATTCTTGTCGGCAAAAAGTCGCCATTTCTCGTCCATTCACTATTATCGACGCTAAAAAAAATAAAGAAACATATCATCAAAATGCGTGAAATTCCTTCAGATGATTCTCTGGTATACTAATAATCTTCCTCACCACACAACAGTAGACTCTAGTACCATTTTGGTAAGAAAATAGAAGACAAATCAACGAGAAAAAAACTAACTTCTCGATTGTGAGTCAGGGAATTTTACTGCGCATGMCGTGGACGACTAACAACCGCTAACCAAATCAGAGCCCGCAGTTCGTTGTGATATTTTGCTTTGTTGTCATTTTGATGTTTGATGTCAAAAAGCTTATGATTTTATAATATTGACAAGTTTCAGCGTCTGGGAATATATGTARCGAATATGTCTACCAAAGACGATCTTGCTGTAACTGACAGAGTACTGGAAAAAATTGGAGATCACTTCAACAATCCAGAAATGTCAGATCGAATTCTGATCGTGAAAGTCAGACCACTGGGATGGGAAGTACACGAAGCCGCAAAACTTGCAAAAAATGCCGTGAAAACCTCGTATGTTAACGAAGAACGCATCGATAGAACGCTTAAGCATGAAAAGGTGGCAGACACTGCTTCCCYTGCGACAAGAATTGATAAAAAGTCAAGYAATTCAACAGAAAATATATTTCCAGCTGATTCTCAGGATCATGACCTGTCGACGGTTGAAAGTCCACCTTTATTGAACACAGATGTAGAAAATTGTACAAAAGACGAAAATAATTCAAAATGTGGAACTAAAAGAAGGAAAAACCAATCTTTAGAGAGCAGTTTTGTAGAAGATTTGAATTCTTGTGGAGCACAGGACGAATTRAAATGTGAAACCCGAGAGGGTGACGCCAAAGACATMAAAAAAGAACAAATATTTATTCCCGAAGAAACTGTTACAACTGTGGAATGTGAAGAGGAAATTGTCCAAGTAGACAAACGAGTACGAGTTGAGGAAATGACTGTTTTATCAGACAAAGAGGTTGACTCCTGTATTGTCTGTCAGCATGAGATCTTTGTTCACAGTTTTTGGTTGGCTCTAAACAGTCCATTCTTCAGAGGTTTGTTTTTTAGCTCAGGAATGAGAGAGACAAAAGATAACAAGGTTTGTGAATTACATCAGAACCAAGTGAACACATTATGTAGTAGACACCAATTGTCTGCCCCCTGGTAGCCAGTCCTCTTTTGCACTAGTCAAAGTAACCCCCCCCCAACCCGGGATAGGGTGGGGATATGTGGGGCATTTGAAAAATGRACTTGGCAAATGTTGGCAAATACCCCACATCGTGGGGGAGAATGGGAAATCAAATCTCYGACCCCCTAGGGACAAAAACCTAAACAGAGAGAAACTCTTAGAACATAACCGTGAAATTTAAGTGAAACAAAATGCCATTTTGAATAAAATTCTTTGTTTTCTACAGCAATTTTTACATGACCAGCCATGCAGTTCAACTTATCTATGACATTCATAGGGCCACAAGTTGCATTTTAAGAGTTTCCAGGCCTTTTCTAATTTTTTTGACCAATCCCGACCTTATGCCCCACTATGCCACGACTATATTAAAACTCTCATAAAATATTCACTTTATCCCCACCCCCTCGGGCATCATTGCTGGTCAAATGTGATCCCAAGCCCCACATAGTCCCCACCCTGTCCCAGGTTGGGGGGGGGGGGTTACTTTGACTAGTGCATTTGGAGCCTAGGAAAAAGAAAATGGGCAAACAGAGAGCTCATAGTCATTATTCATTCAGTGCCTTGCCTTCCCTAGCCTCTATAAAGAGGGCCGGCCACACTGCAAGCTATAGCTTTAATTTTGGGTGGGGCAGGCAAGGTGCATGTTCTCAGTTTTYTATACTTCCAGGTCATATGTTACTAAATCTGCCATTTTGGATGGCAAAAGAACATAAAACCTCAAAAACAAAAGGTTGCAGCTCATAAAGCTTGAATTTTCTTTGAACATCCCAGTGGGTATTTTGACATCCAGTATATCATACATGACAGTTTCAAGCAAAAGGCCTATTCATTGAACCGTGACCTTAGTGATGGCAATCATTTCTGGTGTCATTGCAATGGTCAAACRCAATTCCATCTTAGATAATTTTTAACAGAATTCAGACCATAAGTAAAACAATTAATAATTAATTTAACACTTGTTTCCTTAAGGATGGATTTTAATTTTCTCAACTAAAATGGACAGTTGACAAAATGGCTRACTTCACAGCTCAGTTGTTYATTTTTGACTGCACCTGCATCTCAGAGGTCATTCCTTTGATTTAAAACCAAAACTTTTTTGGGCCACCCATCCATATAACACTCATATCTTGTTTATATTGCAGTGTTATAACCATTTCTTAACCTAATTTTATCTAATGGTTGTATCTTTTTTGTTCTCTAGGTTGTAATGAATGTTTGTCAGTCAAAAGCAGCGATGTTTTTGGTGTTGATAGAGTCCCTGTACAGACCTGAAGTKATTTTCAATAAAAGTGTAGATGAACTTCTTATTCTCATGAGGCTTGCACATGCTTACGACACAGAGACWACACTTAAAACTTGCCAAAGGTAATGCACTTTTACATGAAAAGTAATTAATATATATTAATCTTGTATAGCAGTCAGCATAATATATGTCTAGTGTTATTTTTAATGCCATATTTAGTTTGTTGCCTGTATTAAATAATATGTTTTTTCAGGATACTGGAGTCTGCTGAACTGTCCATTTCAATATGCGATAAAGCATTRAACATGCAGGATCATGAAAGGTATGTAGATTTAGGCAAAAATGGAACATCAAGGCACTAGTTTCGAAAATCCTGTATATAATGAGAGAGCTAAAGTCATTCATTTTCTTTTTCTTGGGAGATGTAAATAGCAATTATTCAATTTTGTCTCCATTGGCTGGGATCATCAAGGTCAAGTGAAAGGATAATAATGTCACAAATTAAATTTCCCAGATTACCAGAAATGGAGAATTTTGATAAAAGGTGTCAGCAGTTTCTTGTTGAGTCATTTAGTCCTTTGGACTATCAGTGGACAAGAGAAGACTTCTTTTCTCTGAGTGCAAATGCTTTACAAACAGGTATTTCTCAGMTTTTATTTAGACTTTCAAACTACATCATGTTCTGTTAGCAAGAGTCAATTAGAGTCAATCAATAAT